GCACCCTGTTCAAATTTGCTGATGACACTAAGATGTGGGGGGACATGGGCACACTAGAAGGAACAAGCAGGCTACAATCGGACCTGGACAGGTTACAAGGGTGGGCGGATAAGAATAGGATGGGTTTCAACACGGACAAGTGCAAGGTCCAGTGCACTAGTCAATTTGTTCTATTTTCAGTGTCTGTTTTTCCCTAATGGCCACAAGCATGGATCTTTCCTGACTATTACATTATGTATGGAGGAAAAGTAATTTACAGTAAAAGTGATTTGAGTAAATACAGTAGCATTTACTCAAATCCAAGGTGAGGTTTCCCCCTGCATTCAACATGGAGGAAACGGTCCCCAATTTTGGATTCAAGTACAAGGCATGGGGCAGGTGGCTGCTATAGCTACAGCTTCAGCTCCAACTCAGGCTCAGGGTTGGAGTCAGAGCTCCAGTTACTTTCCCCCCCACCATCACCTGCTCCCTACCACTTCTGCCCACTGCCTATCTGCCACCTCACCCCACCTCACCACTGAGTATCCTCAACTGCAGCACTGGCCCTGCTTTGGCCCATGCTGGCACATGCTAGCTCCAGTACTTGCCTGCCTTGGTAGCAGGAGTGCTAGTAGCAAAAGCTCCAGGCTTGGCCCTAGCTCCCGTTCCAACTCAGTCCTGGGGCCAGGACCAGATCTGCCTGCTCTGTCTGGCCTGGCAGGGGCCCAAGCCAGCATATGCTCCATGCCCTAGGCTAGATGGAGCTGAAGCCAGAGCCATGACTAAGGGTAAGTAAGTAATGGTGGGACACAGGCAGCAAAGGAGGCCATGGGTGTGCATGTGAGGCAGGGAAGTGGAGGAGCAAGGTATAGGAGTCTGCCTCCTGCCCCCCAGCTACTCCTTTCCATGCCATAGGAGGGGTGGGGGGAAATTTAAGAAGACTGTCCAATAATTTGATTCTATACATGGAAAATTATAATATCTTTTATTAGACCAACTAAACAGTTGGAAAAAAGTTCTTTGAAAGCTTTTGGGCACAAACACCCTTCTTCAGACTTTGGGAGACTCTGCTGAGAAAGGATGCGTGTGCCCGAAAGCTTGCAAAGAGCTTTTTTCCAACGATTTACTTGGTCTAATAAAAGATATCATATCTACCCAAAGAAATTTGCCTGCCTATGTCCTTAGATCAACATGGCTACAACCAACAACCCTGGAAAATTATAACATATTTATAAATTTCCATGTATAGAATCTAATTAGTGGAGGGTCATCTTGTATTCAAAGTCATCGTGGATTTGGATACATACAATATTAAAACAAAATGAGAATTCAAAAATATTTTGTTTCAATGTTTAATTTATTTCAGGTGTAGTTTCAAAATTTAAGTTTGTGAAATGCCACATGAATAGAACTGGAAAAAGCTGGAGGGCCAATACTTAAAATTCTCTGGTTTAGAAGGAGAAAGGTGTATTATACACATGTGCTGTGTGCAAACCTATTTGCATGCAGAAGGAAATGAGAGAGTCTGGAAAATTCTGCCAATTTTCTAAACAAGGGTGGCTTCAAACAAAAGCTTTTTCCTCTTATTTTCAGAGGAAAGTTTTGAAATTCTTACCTTCGCATTTTTGTGTCACTTCATTAAACTTGTGTCCAGCTGGGCATTTGCACTCAAAAGATCCAACAGTGTTAATGCAATTTCCTCCTTGACAGATCCCAGGGATGGCTTGGCATTCATCCACATCTATCATATCAAAAAGGAAAAAAACAATACTCATTTTAATCCACTTCTCTGCAATAGTCACAACAATTTGTCAACACAGAAATTAAGTAAATATGCCTAACTCGGTAGCTCACTCATCAACATATTATGCCTGTGAGGGCAAACACTGATTTTTAACTATGTTATACAAAGAATGATTAATTAATTAAAGGTCTCAAAAAAATTGTGCAAAATCTCATGCTTATCATTGTTTCAGACTTTTACCATCTTATAGCTCATCCATGTACTTTTTTTTCCCAAAATGAATTAAGCATTTTCAGTGCAGAGAACATAATCCCTTGAAAATCAGTTGCCTTTAAACCAGAGGTGTTCAACCCCTTGCCTGCAGGCCAGATCTAGTTTCCAGGATCATGTCAGCCAGCCCAAAGGGCTCCCCATGGGTCCAAAAATTTGATGGAAGGAGAATGGTAGCACTGCTCCCTAGCTGCCAAATTTCTGGACTTGTGAGGAACGCTGGGCCCTGAGCACTAGACTGGGAGAACAGTGTGGCATGGATCCCAGTCTTAGCACACAGGCCCAGTCTTAGCACACAGGCCTAGGAAGGGGTGGTGCAGGCCTCCAAGTCCTTATCCAGGTGGGCAGGGCCAAGTAGAGGCACCACAGGAACCAATCTGGTCCATGGATTGGCCCCACACTGCTCATCTGGGTCCATGGGCCAAAAGCCTGAGCACCACTGCTTTAAGCTAATCTCAAATGAGTAACCAAAAATCATTAACCACTTTGGAAAATCTTGGTAGGCACCTATAGCAAGTCCTCCATAATGAGAAATATCCAGAGATCTTGAATAAGCAAGAAACCTATAAGTTACAGTGTGTGACAGGGCGGGGACCCAGGAGCGGCCGTGATCTCTCCTAGCGCCCCCTACCATGCCAAGTGGGTGTCCATGCACCCTCGTTCTCGCCCGCCATGTCTTTGATGAAAAAAGTATTAAGGGAGGCTGCCTTTTGCCCCTTTGGACACGGTACCCCTGATGTATCCCAGTTTGTGTCCCGTCTTAGCGGACCCCGTGAATTCAAGCCTGAAGGGCTACGCGTAGCTCCTACCACCCCTAATACCATGCCCCAAGCCTCTCAGATGTACCGGACGTTGTCTTGTCAAAATCCCTTGCCCGCGGCTTTGCGGACGCTCTCTGGCCTCTCTTTCCTTACAGTCGCCCGTACTCCCCGTGGACGCTCTCAGGCCTCTCTAGGCTGAGCCCATACCAGGCCCTTCTCACTTGTGCACCCTCCCTGGGGCTCCTCTCACACTCGCCCTCACTGGGGCCTTGCCCCGCGATTCCTGCCCGCACTGGGGCCTGCCTCCCCAATTCCCGCAATCGAGGCTCAGGTGGCCGTAGCCGTGCCTGGCCCCATATTCCCCTCTTGGGGCTTCTATTCCTGTGTGCACCCCCCTGGGGCTTCTATTCCTGCACCCTCTGGGCTTCTCGCCGGTGCCCACTCTGGTGCTCCTCACAA